GATATTACCTGCTGAAGGAGCTGGTTCCGTTCTAACTGCCAGGCAGTTCAGGAGACGCCATCTCCACCCAGGTCCAGCGATCTGACTCAGGTCGTACTCCTCCGACCAGGTTTTACAGTTCACCTCCTGCTGATTATGACAAGGGTCTCTAGCTCTTTTCTAATCCTGCGGCTCTCTAACTGGCACCTAGCACTGGCAGAATAGACGCTGTTGTGCATCAAGTAATTTCAGAGTATTTCACAGGAGCATCTCACCCAACCCTTCTAGTATTTCCTGATCCTGTGTTTAATATTTGCAGAAATAGAGGCCCAGTGTTGTAAGCTGCCCAGTTGCTGAGCTGAAAAAAAGATAAGACTTGTCTCTCTTCCCTGTTCCACTACTTCTTCCTATGCCTTTCCTGGTACCTTGATCTCGGAGAAGGAATTGCTAAATAACATTCTCGCCTTAGGAATTTTTTATTTATTTATTTAACTTTCTAGAACACTTGCTCTGTGTGGGCACAGCTAATTCTGTCTTTGCCCCACTTTCCAAGACGACCTGTAGAGTTGATGGGGAAGTGTGACACCCCTTCCTTTCACTAGTCACCAAAGTGAAAGACCTCAAGGCTGAGTTCACAGCAGGCTCTCTGCCTTCTTGGCCTCTGTTTGCCAGTCCTGTCTCATTGGTAAGCCCCTCTGCTTTCCCTCTCCAGACTGAACTGTAGCAATTTCCCTTGCCCTCTAATCTGAATAACTGAGCCCCATTACCCTTCTCATATCGTAACATTGCATATGAAATTCCTTAGAGCTGGGTTAGAAGTCAACGTTTACTGTTGCTATTGAGCCTCACATGCTGGCTGCCTGGTTTGCTTTGCACACATTTTAGCTAAGTTAACCTTTGAGAATGATCATCTCATACAAATAACAGCTTTGACATGGTTACCTATTTCCATTTCTGTCTACCTTCCCCTTCACCAGGAAACTCATTCTAAATTTGTACAAAGTCTATGGGAGGGTTTAAAGCCAAAACACTCATTTGGTTATATTTACAAATGTCGACTGACATAGCAGTGTTTTTTTTATTTGTTATCATGCAATACTTAAATAAAACAAATTTGTTAATTTTTTTTCTTCAGGACATTAACTGATTCTCTTTTCTCCTGAAGAAGTATTTTTAATTCTTCATTATTTTTCACATACTGACATGAAAATTTTTTTATTACAGCATTTTTTTCTTCCAATTTTGCTTAACAAAAACAAGGATAAATAAATTAATACAGATCTTTTAGGCATATATTTTTTGCCTTCCCAGAAATCTTTGATAAATTAAGATTGATAACTGAAAATTAGCTATTCATTTATAATAATTATGTTCTAAGTATTGCCTGACTATAATGAGTCATTAACAGTTTCCCTTTTAACACATTTTCTAAAGTTAAATGACTTATGTATTTATGCATTAGAGTATAATCATATACTAAAAGAAAAATATTTTTTCTTTTCAAATAATTAGTATTCTTGAGAATAAAGACAATAAAAATTTTTCAAAATCCATCCTGATGGAAATAAACCAGATTTTCTATTTTTATCCAAATATTGATTCTGTTTTTACTCTTTTGGCTAATATATAATTTTCTGTTGAAGACTGAAGCATCAGTATTTTTCTTTTAAATCTGATTTCTTGATTTTCTATTATGTTAGATTTTATTTTATTTTAAAATATTTTGAAGATTTATTTATTTTTAATTGTTAAATTTTAATTTATGTGTATGGGTTGTTTTGCTTGCCTGTGTGTGTGCACCAAGTGTTTGCAGTGGTCGAGGAGGCCAGAAGAGGATACTAGATCCTGGGACTGGAGTTACAGGTGGTTGTGAGCTGCTATATAGGCTCTGGGAACAGAACTGGGATCCTCTGGAAGAGAAGCTAGTGCTTTTAACTACTGAGATTCCCAATATGCTTTTTCATAAGGAATTCCAGATTCCCTTTGTGGGTTCTTGGTCTTGACAGAAAAGAAAGAAACTTGATTTTTTTTCCTGTATGTTATGTGCCTCTATTGGGGGAAAAAGTGCATTTAGTGCATCACAAACTTCAGATTCTTTTCTTTTACTAGGTTTCCTGTCCAAGGAAAAGCATGAATTCTAACTTTGTAACTACAACAAGTATATGTTAAGGGAGATTTTATTATTATTTCAAGATTTGGAAGCTTTAAATGAATGGATACATGGTAGTTTGAAATGCAAATTATTACAGGTAAAATCTCCATTGGCTTCACTATTTTGGAGTTGCATACCTCAACTCCCTCCCTTGAATGTACTATAATGAAAATCAGTAAATAATACTGTATTTCATTTACATATACCTTGGCAAGAACTATCACACTATGTGGTCAGAAAGCCAATAATTTCAAGTTCTGGTACCTCAAAAGACATATTAATTTCCTTTCTTTTGCTCTGATAAAATTACACATACAGATACATACACATGCACACACACAGACAGAAGCCTTAAGGAAAAGACATGTATTTTAGCTCACTATAGGAGGGAAGTCAAGTCAGCAAGAACTTCCAGTAGCTTTTCATATCGTGACCCCAATTACGAGCAGAGAGAAATGAGTGTGCACTTGCGCCTCTCTGCTCGTTCTCCTCTGCTCGTTCTCCTCTCTGCTCATTCTTTTCTCTGCTCCTTCTCCTCTCTATATTTAAAGAATACAGGATGCAAACCCATGGTTAGCAAGTTTTCCCACTTTAACTAATGCAAACAAGATAATCGCCCAGAAACATGCCCACAAGCTAACCTGATCTAGACAGTCGCTCATTGAATCTCTTCTCAGGCTATGCTAGACTGTGTCAAACAGACAATTAAAACTTAACATTATACACACATTCAGGAACAGTTTTGGAATTTGAGAAATCAGCAGGACAGGCAATCCAAGAGCCTTGGCAGCTTCCTGGTGGAAGAAGATGAAACGGGGAAGAAGAAGATAAAAGCTATGGCAGAAGGAGATGGGGTGGGGAGGAAGAAGAGAAAAGCTAACCTTTCTGAGAAGTCAATCACTGTCAAGCTCAGCACTGGGGTCTATGGCCTAATGCATGATGGGAGACATCACTATGAAAGAGGGAAGGTTAGACTTGCCGAAAGAACCCACAAAACATGCATAACAGTCTGCTATCAACCTCACACAGGAGGGGCCTGTGGAAGTCTGGTACCTATCTCACTATAGTTATTCCTCCCATTTTCTTTCCGTCTTCTTTCTCCCTCCGATTTTTTTTTTATCACGTCTCCATGTACATCATATGTCTTCTGACTTTAGGCTGCTCTTCTTTATGTAGTAAATCAGAATCTTATCCTTACTGAAGGCAGATTTTACACTTGTCTAAGTAAAGGAAGTGACTGTTGTCTCCTTCCAAGTGACATTATCAGCCATTAACCAAGACACTTGTCAGGAGTTTACGGCCATTCGCAAGGCAGTTTGTGTCAGAAGACATTAACTTGTCAACTTACTGGGATTCCTATGTCTCAAAGGGAGTCCCAGACACAGGAGGCATCTATTGCTCCATGAGAATCTTACAAGTCATGGGTCAGGATCAGGCCAAGTGTAACAAAGTAGCTGAGAGAACTATGCATATGTCTCAGATAATTCCTGGAGGTGTTGACTTCAGATGTCGCCTTACTGCCTTTCTTCCTGTTTAACATTTTATATCACTATTTGTAAATCTTTGAAAACATGTTCTCTTAAGTTGAGACTCCTGTTCTCTGTAACACTCCTGGATACATTGTTTTTCCAAGAATTCAGTAGAAATGGTTGAATTATAGTTAGCAAATGTTACATCTTGGACCACAGTATCTCCACCTTCACCTTCCGCTTACATTGCCATAGTGCTGTGTTTGCAATGCTTTTGTTAAGATAACCTTCTCCTCTCAAGTGAATACCACACAAACCTCAATCTGACTCATTACACTGACGCATGGACCTGTCTGTTTGCCACCAACCAGCGAGTTTCTATAATAGCAGGCACCTCTACCTTGCTTTTCAGTTTTCATATCTGTTGCTTATGCAGAGACAATGAAACATTAGTTAGGTGCCCACACTACCACAAGGCTATTCCAAAGTGCTGGATGAAATCTAACACCGCAACTATATGGTCACTGATTTTTTTTTTTTTTTTTTTTTTTTGCAAAACTTACCAAAGCAAGCAAGATACTTTACTAGGTTGCAACATAATTTTGTAGCTTCGTTTATGAAACTTGTTCTTTTTGATTTTTAAAGCAGACTCCCAAACTTTTAAAGATTTGAATACACCAAAATTATCTTGATCTTTGCTGACAGAAAAAGGGAAACATTGAATGAGTAACTAAAAGAACAGAAAGGCAAGAGGGTGGGTGATTACATTGAGTCTTGACGGAATTGTGCAGCAAGACCCTGCTTGAATAGACAGACAGACAAACAGACAAAAGCGTAATTGTGGTTTTTGTTCTTACAAAACACTGAAAAGTCATCATGCTATGCCATCCTCTAAGCTTCTAAAGCTTTTACGAAGGTTATCTTTATTACATGATCTTAGGGATGGAACCCAGTGCCTCCAGTACAAATATATTAATTAATCTCTCAATCTATGCCACACCTACATTTAATTCATTAAAATAATCTATTTAAAATGTTGACAATATAGCAGTTTCATTAGATGACTAGTGTGTTTTGTGTTGAATAAGAAAGTAACCTGCTTACCACTACCAGACTGCCCAGTTCTTATCAGTGTGAGCATTCTGGGAGGGAAGAGACCTTGGGAGTTCTCTCATTGTACTAAGTGTATTAAAATCAGAAAATGAAAAAGAAAAGAGTTAATAACATCATTGTCCCCAAATGTTGCCTATTTCCCCTTCTCTCCTGTCTTACCCTCCTCTATTCCTCCCGATTCCCCCTTTTCTCCTGTCTCCCCATTATTCTCTCTTCCATTTCTTTTCTTATCTTTTTTCTTTCTTTTTTGCTTCTAAGTTATTTTCTTGTTTTTTTTCTCGATGCAGGTGTTTCATAGTACTCAACTGCCATAAAGCTTTCCTTATTTTTGAAAACTGAACCATCTATTCAGCCAAGATGAAAATGTCATTGCTGGTCAGCCACCTCCTGCTAATCTCCATTACATCCTGCCTAGCAGGTAAGAAAAAGCCTTTGTGTATTCTCACAAGTTATGTGAATACAATCAATATGTGTCTTACCATGAAATATTTCATGTGATATCAGAACTAATATCTTCTTTTGACATCTGGGTAAGGTTTAATTAGTAAATAAATTTTACATGCTGAGATTGGCTTAATTTTTATTTATTTTCAATTAAGATTTCATAAGTTTTTGCCTAAATGCTCCTACACCTGTGAACTTTGTATCTCTGAAAAGGAAGTACTTGGTATGTCACAGAGTGGTCAATTTTAACTTCCCACAGTTTAGGTAGCTTTGGAAGAGACGGGTATCATTTCAGTACCTTTAGTAATAGTAAAATGTAGCAAGAAATTAAAGAACTTACATTTTAAATGTCTTCTTTTGTCTTTAATACAACTTATTCACTTGTCAGTTAGCATTAAGCTTATGTAGCTATGTTTAATAACTGATTCACAGATTTCTGAAAACTAGTAAGCACACAACTATGATGATGATCCAGAACAACACCAAATCTGATGAATCTTTCCTTTGTTTACTCAATTTTAGAAAAATGGCATCCAAATAGTGTATGACACCTATAGGCATAGAAAGACTAGCAGAGCTGCTTTGAGCTCTCAACACAAAGATCATGTTTCTCTCCTTCATAGTAAATATGAAAATTCAGGAATATTTCCCAGAAGTATGGACACTAAGTTTAACTGGCAGTAGTACGTTTCCTAATAATTATTTTGTTCCAAACCTCCATCTCAATGACATTTTTCAGTGAGTACTTGTGGAGCTGCTATTCAACAGAAGACATACCTGTATGTAGTCATTTCATCTATGAATCAGCCAGTCTCTTTAAGGATGTACCCAAAGACTTTTCTATTGCATTGACAATTTACTTAGTTCACTTGTTTGTCTGATACAGGGCCTCTCGTAGCCCAGGCTGCCCTGAAACTTACTGGGTGGCCAAAGATGACCTCGAACTACTGGTCGGCCTGTATCATCCTCATTAGTGCTAGGATCACAGTATTGCCAGCTATTTATTTTTAAGAAAATTTTTAAAAAATGTGGGTTTTTTTTTGAGGAAATGGTGGTTTTTATGAAACTAATTTCAGAATTTGATGAAAATAATTTCATAGTGTCAACAGTGGGGAAGATGGAGCCATGGCACCATGCTTGGCCTGCAGTACCCATGGCCTTCCCTCAATCTTTAAGACCTAAACTCAAGTAAAAATAAATCTTTGGTTTTGAAGCCAACGGTAATTTCAAGACAAGCCCTTCTAAAGCAGAGAAGAGTATATTAGGAACAAAGGGAAGGGAATTTACAGAACATGACATCACAACTTTGAGCAGCTGTTTAAGCTTCTCACAAAACAGTCACAATGGTCTCAATGGTAAACATATGAACCATGATGGTGGCTCTCAAGTTACATCCCAAGGGTATCCTAGAAAAACAAATTTTCTCCTTTCTCACTTGTTGTTAAGTATGAATAGAAGATGGGTCCAAAGATGTTTTGGGTCAGAATATAGTTTGAAAAGAGCAATCCAGGCACAACTAGTTTAGCACAAAAAGGGGTCCTTCTGATACCCCTAGATAGCTGGGTTTACAGTTAGGAAGGGCGAAGGCCTTGAGTAAGTGCTAGTTGTGTTAAAATTCTTGACTCTCAGAGGCAGAGGTGAGGATACTTTTCCCTTCCTTTGCCCCCATCCTGTTACTCCTTTTTCTATCCTGCCTTACTTAATACTTAAGTATTTAATGACCATGGGAAATATACATAGACACAAGAATGATATGCATGCACATATATAATTGCATGTGTGATGTATTTATAATGAATAAAAAGAAATCTTATATAGTTATTGACATCTTATTATAAATGAAATAAAGAATATATTTTAGTCTCTCAAATTCATACTAATTCTATTGATTGCAAACATTAGTGCTACTACTATATAATGTAAAAATAGGAAAACAATATTTACATAGATGTAAAGACACATCAGTCCTAGTGGGTTTGAAAAACACCTCAAAGAATTACTTTTCTTTGACAGAAATTTTCTTCCTCTTCTTTTTTTATAGAGTTCACATGGCACAGAAGATATGGTCATGGAGGTAAGATTTAAATAGTTTTTTTTTTGTAAAATGATAATTGATTTCTGCTTTACGTTATAATAACTCTATACTTGAAGGAAAATGATTACTGTTATGTCAATTAGAAATCCTATAAGGTATTTTTTTCTTAGACTAGTTGTTTGATTGTTGAAAGATATCACACACACACACACACACACACACAACCCTACCCCCTCAAACAAACACTCCCCCCAACAAACACACATTAAGGGGTTTGGGCAGATGAAAACTATTCAGTGTGGTCTCCATTTTATCTTACATGCTTTGGAACAAAACAGTGCTGTGAAATTTGAATTGATGTTTAAAGATTGCTTAACTTTTTCTGCAAGCCTCTTGTTTGCTTCAAAAAAGAAAACTCAAGTTAGTGCATTTGGAACCTTAAGATTCAGTGCAGTTAGCAGCTAACAGATGTTAGAATCTACTGCTTGAGATGTACCGAATGTAATAACCAAGCCTGCTAGAGTAGAGTCTCCTGTGTGTGGTTACTGGTTCCGCTGAAGTAGAGGCACTCAAAAGAAGACCAGCTTGGATTTGTTCTCCAGCTGGAACTCACCGGCTAAGCTTGCATTTTTACATAAACTAATCAACTTCTGTGAGCTTCTGTTTTTGAAATGTATAAATCAAGGGTTTCATATGGCAAGAAGCACATGAAGAACAAAGCAAATACAGCTGATGTCATGACTCATGGATTATGTGCTCAGTGGCTCCCATCTCATTAATGCTCATGACCGGATGGAAGGCCAGGAAGAACTCCTGAGCATCCAGGATCTAGTGTGACAACCTCCATGACAAATCCAAATGATGCTGTTTAGACTGAAAAGGATTTCCACTTGGAGGCTCAAGAAACAGAAGGACAAGAAATCATTAGCTCTAATACTATCAAATCCATTTCTCCTCCCACACCGTGTGCTGGAAACCAGGGAACCACTACATGTAGATTTTATAAAGATCACTGGCAGTTTCCTAGACTTCACGAACCTTATCATAAGTAGGAAATATGACAAGGTTAATACTTCTTGAAGTTAATACAATTGAAATATGCTTCTAAGGAATTATGTGATGACTCAAGGAATGATTAATGATGGAAGTTGTAGATAAAGAAGCCTGGAGTATTTTAACATTTAGAAGTAGCATAAATTCTAAATAAACAAGGTAACTTGCTAAGTTTTTTTTTTTTAAAAAAATAGCCTCCCTCCCAAAAACCACTTGTAATTTCTATAGAATATTCACGGGAATTTCATTAGAAAATACTTTATTGTCAAATAAGTCATTGGAAACCCTTCTGCACAGTAAAGCATAATAGTTTATATTTAAATGTGGTTAAGGTTTATAGAACTAAAAAAAAATAAGTGCAGGCATTTCATTGAACTGACACAATAAAATACCTGGAACTCAGTGACAAAGAACATAAATTTATTTTCAAATCTCTCAAAAATAGAAGCCAACCTCAAGGTGCTGGAGGGGCTGTGGTCCCTTGGACTATGGCCCCCTCTCAGCTGCCAGTAGCCCCACAAGCTCCTTTGGCTGTGGAGACATAATAACTTCAGTGTCTGTCTCCAGCTGCTCCCATATGCTCCCAAGCTCAGTTAGCACTCAGCTGATAATCACTAAGGACCCCCTCATCTGTGTTAAATTTATGACTTTTCACTTCGGGTGGAGTGCTGAACCTGCCCACCAAACCCTGCATTTCCCTGCACACCCATTTCTGCTCTCCTTAGTCGTGTCTCAGGACACCTCACTCCCCATACCTCTAAAATTCTCGTGCGTTCTGACATTCAGGTGTCAGATTTTATTCCTATTACATAGAGAGATTCAAAATGGTGAGGAGAAAGTTCCACAGGCTCCTCCTATATCCCACTCTGCTGCTCAGGTCTGCACTGGTGTGACCTTGCTGACATTTGTAGGATCCCACATATCTGCCCTTCTTTTGTGCAGTAGGCCTGTTTCATCTAGTCCATCTACCTTGTAGCTACAAAAATGTCCCTTCTTTCTCCTTTGTCAATTTCTCCTTCTTTATGGTTATCACTATCAACATACATACATTCCATAGTGTGGGGAAGTTGTAATGACTGCCTTTAATCCTAGCACTTGAGAGGCAGACGTAAGTGAATCTCTGTGACTTCAAACGCAGCTTGGTCTACAAAGAGAGTTCCAAGATACCCATAGCTACCTAGAGATGCACTGAACAAACCATTAATAATAATAATCCTATCATTTTCAAACTCTGTACTTGTGTTCTGTACATGTGTTCCCTCTACCTGGCAGCAATAAAACAACAACAAAAAATGCCTTTGCCTGTGATTGCTCTTTTCAATTCCTTGATCTGTCTTCTCCTTTGAATATAGCAAGCTTTAACAGCAGTGATCAACATTGTCTCCAAGCCACCCATGGTGTTCAAGTGGTTAATGCAGTGAGCCACCCTCCAACTTCCCCTACAGTGCACAGTTGGGCTGTCACATAAAGACAGAACAGGATTCTGAGTGAAGAGGGGCATTCCTTTTTTGTCTGTTTTTTTTTTTTCTTTTTAAAACAAGAGAATCTTTACAGACTCCTCTGAAAGAAATATCATGACCTGAGATAGTCTGGGTTCTCTCCAGGTAGCAGACGATACCTTTTAGGTGCTGAGAATACTCCCAGTCATGTCTAGAAGTTTTGAAATGGCTTGAGGTTCCAAGGAGGCTATAAAGACACGATGGAGGCCAGCAATACTGCTGTTGGGTGTATACCCAAAGGATGTTCAATCATTAACACAAGGACATGTGATCAACTGTGTTTATAGCAACATTATTTGTAATAGCAAGAACCTGGAAACAACCTAGATGCCCCTCAACCAGATAATGGATAAAGAAATTGTGGTACATTTACACAATGGAGTACTACACAGCGTACTATATATGTCTTGAAATTTTTTATGCAAATGGATGGATTTAGATAAAAATATATTTAGTGAGGTAACCCAGACCCCAAAAGATAGATACAAGTGGCTTCTAGACATAAAAAAAAAACAACCTACAGTTCACAACTTCAAAAAACCTAGACAACAAAGAAAACCCTGAGAGAGACACACATGGATCTATAGAGGAAGGAAAGATAAGATCTCCTGAGTAAATTGGGATTGTGGGGGTAATGAGAGAGGGTAGAAGAGGAGGGGGGAGGAAAGGAGGGGAGTGGAGAAGAATGTATAGCTCAATAAAAATAAGGAAAAAAAGACATGATAGACTCTCCCTGTGGCATAAAGCCAAGCAAAGAATTTAGTCTCTATAACCCAATTTGCTAATCTAATCCTCACCATCCTTTCAAAAATTGGATTTATGTACAGCTGTTGAGAGGAACTCTGAGTATTGCATTGTTGGGGTGGTAAATTAGTGCAATGTTACTTCTTACCCACTACCCTAAGTGGTAGTGGTACCAGGGTATTTCAGACCAAGCCCTAAACATCTTGAATATCTCAGGGAAGGATGAATACTTTGTAGAAGCTTGTGCTCAGCAAATGTAATTTTTGCCTCATGTGGATAGTTTATTGTATTACAAGGGTGCTTAAATCACTCTTGGCTCCATGGGGAGAGATATTGTAAATATCATAAGAATTCTCATAATAGACTTTTTCAAATTTTGATTCCATTGCTTTGTTTCCTAATAGATTTTTCTTAGACTCATCTGACAACATACTTATGTAAAACTCGGTTAATTAACAGATTGAGATGACATATTTCAAAGTGAAAAAATGGAATTTGTCTCAAGATAGAAAACTCACTAAAAATAACTCTCAAGCTTAAACTGCAATCTTATTTCAATTTCTAGAAGTAAAACCAAATAGCAAGATTACAGAGGACTATCTCCACATGGGAAAAGTACAAGGATACTGTTTTAGCTCATGCCACTGGCTGATTTTTTTTTTAATCTATGGACATGAAAAACTCCCTGAAAGAGCAGCGGTAGCGTTTGATTGTCTTTCATCTGCAGGTTTTATTTCAAATATGCATGTATGATCTTTTTCTTTTTTATCAATGTTTTTAATCAAATTTGATAAAGTAATCACTTCTAAGGTAGAGTTATAATGGCTACTTTAGATATAGGGAAATGAAAGGTTTTTATAAAAATGAGATTGTATTAAGAAAAACAGATCAAAAGAAAATGTGTTTATTAAGTTTTTGGGTTACCTGAGATGTTTCCCCCAACTTTGTGTTCCCTTTCCAATGCATCAAAAAATGTCACCCTGGTCTTCTCACTGCTAGAACAGCGAGAGACAGAGGCACTCATTTCAGCAGACTGAGTAGAGCTGCCTAAATGGGTCCTGTGCTGAGTCTCATGCTGTGTTATCCCAGAAAGATCTTCTTTCTCTGGGGCTGAGCATTTCTGTTGAGCTAGGGGACCATGGAGTCACCATATTGGGTGATGGGGTTGGATTCCTGCTAAGCATGACAATGGTCCTGACATGCAAAGACTTGCAGCAGTAACTGCTGCTCTTAAGGGCCAGTTCCAATTCCCAATTAACATGTACAGAATCATTGAAAAACTTCGCAGGGAATCTAGTTTCTCATCCAGGGTAGAAAATTCTAGAAATGTAAGCAACAAATGTTCATTAAACAGTATAGCCCTATCCTGGAAACAAGAAAATTGAAATATTTTAAATGTGAAATTTTTCCATTTGAAAATTAAGTTAGCTTCTTTATTTTTATCTCACTAAGGTTTCATGTCTGTCTTTATAGAAGTTAGATGCTAGCCTTTAATCCCAGCACTTGGGAGGCAGAGGCAGGCTGATCTCTGTGAGGTCGAGACCAGCCTGGTCTATAAGAGCTAGTTCCAGGACAGGCTCCAAAACCACAGAGAAACCCTGTCTCAAAAAAGAAAAAAAAAAAAAAAAAACAGAAGTTAGATACTGATGGAGGGGTGGAAAATATACACATATCAGTTGTGCAAAATATTGCCATTAAGAAGAGAAAAACTTTTTTTTCATCTTAACTAATTTGAATTTACAT